TGTGGCGGATATGGGATGTATGCACAGAGGATTGAGCTCACTTACTAAAATGTGAATTTTAACAGCAGCGCAAGTTGAAAAGACAAAAACAATTCCATCTAGTTTAAACATTTTCTTGGTAGGTTTCTAAATTCATTATTTTTTTTATGTAAATCCAAATGTTAAAGATTAAAATAATTTTGCCTTTATTATAGAAATCCCTTTCTAAATTCCTGTTGTACTTACTACTTAAACTTAAATTTACACCACAGTAACTGCAATGGAAATATTTTGAACTTATTATATGATCATTTTGCAGGTGTTTTTTCTGTTTTTCTTAAGGTTAGGAGGAATAAAGTATTTTGTTTCGAGACTTCCGGCTGGATCAGGTTGTGTAGCCACATCTCTGCATCAGGTCGGAGGCTTAACACCTCCCCTGTCCTGCGCTCAGAGAGGTTTTTTAATGTAACATTACCTTCTCCTTCAGAGCTGTATGAATAACTTGTGCCTTGTGCTTGTTGCTCTCACGTTTGCATTGTTTGCTTTGAATAGAATTATCATCTCTTGCTTCCACGGACATGGATTAAGTCTCTTGTTTAAAATGAAAAAAATTGCTCAACACAGCGTGAACTAGAATCACATGCAGACGCAGATGACAAGGATTATGTCTCAAAAACATGATCTAAATGTTGTTCTTTTGGGGATGAAGGATTATGATTAAAGGTTGTATTATTTGTGTGACCTTAAACAGGAAATAAACAGTGAAATGATAAGTTACACAAAAAATAAAAGTCCCAAGCAAAGAAAGACTCTTGTTTGGGTCAAATTTGGAGAGGATTACAGGATCGTGGAATAAGGATTAGTTTCCATACACAAATATTCACAGACACAAATACTGGTGTCCGATAATATTTGTTTTTATTTATAGCATAACATTTTTTTATTTAAATGAAAAGAGGAATGGGAAAAAGAAAAGGAGATAAGCTCTAAGTTGCTCATAGTATCTGCAGGCTTATCATCAACTATTCAAGCCTTCAGCCATATTCCTCAGTAATGTTCTCCATGCAGAGGAAGGATACACCCCGCTTCCTAAAACTCCACCCTGACCCGGGCTCAGCAGAGGAAAAAGGCAAACATAAAATGAAGAGCTAAGGAATGGTTAATTGTTAAACCTTTGGGTGGGAACAATCCACACAAAAATATGAGTGTCTTATAATATATCTTGGGTGGTTATGGTATGTATGATGTGCCATGCCATACCCTAAATTCCCAAATGTTTCACATCTGATCAAGTCTCTTGAAATAAAAAGCTGGATTGACTGCTGAATCAAACCATCAGTAATGGAGTTCTTGTCACATCAAAAGCTACTGGATCCAAGGATGTAAACACAGAGGGAAACAGGAATTTGGAGATTAATTTGTGCCCAAACGCGGCTTCTCAGAGATGTACAGCATACATATTTAGACTGAAACAGTGCTGATGGCAGCTGGCCATTGCTGCCTTATACTTACACTGATAACAGTGGATAAAATAGACAACATAGAAGTTGAATTCTTTGATGTGTTTTATTCCCTACTAGGAACTGCATCTTTCATTGAGTAATTGTAAATCTGAATTTTCAAGGCCTGTGGATTACCAATTTTTCTGCTGGTAGGTGTTCTCCCTCTAAAATAAACTTTTGGGTATTGGCTAAAAGGCTGGATATCCCCCCACCCCCCATCCCCCATTGATGGAGGAACAGTGGACATGGCAGAACAGGAAGTATGCTGAGGACGGGAAATAGGGAGCACAAGCAGGAATAAACGCTGTTGAAATAGCAAGAGGGAAATTTCCATTCCCCTGTCTTAAAGTAGTTGAGCCCAAAGTCCTTGAAAGAGATGGGACAAATTTATCAGGGATTGTCAATTCTACTTCTCTGGATCCTGTACTGATTGCTTTTCTTGTAAATGGAAATTTAGCACATCGTCCCCCACTAGTTACTTACACAGTGAATTTGAGGCTGTGGGGGAACAGAAAGAGGAAAGTGTGGCAATTGCTTACTTTTGAAATATTTTAATGCTGAGCTATGGTGGTTTTCCCAGTTAACCCGTGTAGCTATTTTCACTATTTACAAAAAAGCAGATAAAACCAAAAGTAAAGTATTGCTGATCAAGGCTCCTGTGGGCTGGAAGAACCAGCTCAAATTGCCTGTTTGGTCCGCCATGAGCAATGAGAGGAAAACTAGAGCGTATCAGCAGTTATGGCCTTCACGCTGGTGCTGCTCCACACCAGCAGGACACCGTCGAGCCAACATATGAGTGTTTTTCACAGCAAATAGCGGCGATTAGTAAGTGCTCGGCCATAGTAAAGTGAATGAACCCAAAACAGTTTTGGTGGAGAGTAAACATATTCCTTGACACATTGAATAATTTGATAAAGAACTGCCAAAATGTCCTGTTTACGTGACCCACTGCAGTGCAAAAAGAAGGTGAAGAGGGAATGAATTTGCCAGGACTCTGCTCAGACTTTTAAAGAATTTCAATGAACATCATTTCAATATAGCGCTATGATTTATGAAGGTAACATTGTGCATGTACGCACAAACACAGCCCCTCGCTTACTGGCACTATATAGCAAGACAACACGGTTTTGTTGAGTGTATATATGGTGTCTAATTACATTGTGAGCAGTGGTGATAAATCATTGGTGTCTTAATCAAAGCACTACAACAGAGAGAGTCATCAATCACTTACTACAGCACAACACAATATGGGCCTGTAGCTTCTCCGTGTCTTCTGGCTCGCAGCGCTGGTTTGCACCAAACACGAGCCATATCGCTATGACGCATTATCATTAGCGCAATCAACACCACTTTAAGGTCCTGACGGAGAGCTATCAAAAGGCAAATGGCTATCAAGACACATGGGCCCATAAAGTGGATAGCATCTGGTTCCGCATGTCAATGAATAAAAAGAAGAGAGCATGAATGTATGGAGCACAAGCAACCCCTCTGAGCTTCTCCTTCAACTAGCAAGATGCCGTTTATTTGATTGCTATGATGAAGCAGTACTATGTTTAAATTGGGGCTATTTTTGTCATTGTGAACACGTTAACTGCAGCTGGCTGTGATTGATGGCAGAGGGATGGGTCACCTCAAAGGCACCATGATGGCATTTAAAATGTCCAGTTTAAGGTGGAGGAATGACAGATGGTATTACAATTGAATCTATTAAAATGTATCAGCTTGGGGACATTTTGACTTCTCAATTGCCCTACTTTAGAGACAGTACACGCTCAACAGCTTTAAATCCCCCTATCTGAAGATTCAGAAACCATCAGAAGTGCATGTGAGCAATAGTCTTCCAACACTGGGTCTCAATCATAATCAGACAGGTGTTCCCCATGTCCTCTGGGTTGCCATTTTCCCGTCTTTTTGAGGGGAACTTCTTCACACTGTTATGCTGTTTAATTTAAATGAAGAGCTGAAGTGAAATAGAAGAGGACAAGACAGACAGCACAAACAGGGAAGGGGATGGCAGGCAGTCATCTATGAAGGGCATGGCCACAGCAGCTATATTTAGCTATCAGTTTTCACAGGCTGTCAATCGGAACATCTCATTAAAAATCGGAATAAAGTACTAATCACAAAACTCTGAAAAAAAAAGAAAAAAAGCTCTGGGTCCTAAAGTACTTGCACGCACAGGTTTACAACTCTGAATGATCTCAACTTAGCTCAGACTATCAGCTATCAGTGGAAGTGTCAGTACTCTGATGAATTTCTCGTGACCTCTTCAGAAGATGCCACGTTCACTATTCCTTTAATATCAGAGAGGACATGGACAGCCAGATTAATTATGTTCATGTATCCACAGCCATATATTTTTAAATGCAGAGAGGCCCACCCCAGGTTTATTGCTAATTCTATATTGAGAGATTACACATAAATATTCATAAACACAATATGGACACCGTAAATCAGATAAAGTGAGATAACCTTACTGGTTCAAATTCTTATATATAACAGGATCTAAATTAGAAAGCTTAAACTGAAAGATTGTGAGAAAGTGATTTGCTAAAGTAAATGCTATATAAAATGTGCTGCATACATTAGGCGAGTGACTAACCCTCTTAAGGATGTATCCAGGTCACTGAGGACAATCTGATTAGATCTTCAAATTGATTTACTCAGCTCAGATGGACCTTTGATTGACTTTTTTTTATTATTATAGATAATCATAAAGATTTAACATTGTTTGTAATGAAATGACAAAGTACATGTACATTCCACAATTTGATTCTTGTAAATGTTACACCCTAATGTCGTGCTTATGTGTTGCAAAGGTGGTAAAAAAGAAGGATTAAAAAAAAAAACGTTTTAAATAAATGTAAGTAAAGATTGTCCACTCAGTTCGGACTTCTTGAGCCAGTGGCTTTCGTTCCTTGTGCTGTGATAAATGCATTCTGGTGAAAGCAATTCTGAGTTCACATGTGCTTATCAGATTGAAATAATAGAAACAACACAGAAAAATAGAGAAAACTTCATACATCAATAAAAATCCAGATAAACTTATTTAAAATCCAGATAAAAATCTCTCTAATATTTTGGGTTCTTTTTGCAGCCTTTGTGAATCATTGTGAGGTAAAGTAAGGGTACAGAATTATTCCAGAGCAGAGCTGAGTGGAATATAGCTTCAAGGTATTCTACTGTTGGCCACAATCGATCTGTCCAAAAACGTGCGGGAAATGCTGCCATCTGTTGGACGGTTATTGTAGTTACCAAATATGGGGCGGACTAATGACAGTGCTACTTTCAGGATAATGGGAATATTGAGAGTCCAACTAAGATATAAAGACACGCAAAGCTACGTTATTGGTCTTTTCAGTCAGTAATTGTACACCAATCGAGCAACATTAATGTCAAAGGTAAAATGTGTCAAAATGTATGACTATCAGAAAATATTAGTGCTGTCATTCAAGCAGAGGTTGTCTTTACGATTACCAACGTCGACATTTAAATGACTTAAACATGGCGGAGATGGATGAGCCGTAAGTAGCTACCGAAGAGCCCAGCAAGAAGCCCCGAAAGATGCTTTTAAATCTTATTAACCTATGAGAGCACAGCATGGATCAAACTTCTTTTATTCTCTCTTTGTAGGGAGAAGAAAAGAAGGAGAGTAGTGGAGCTGACTGAGAAGTTAGTGATCAATCGGTAGAACTGGCAGAAGGTTTGAGGTCTCTAGACAGGAAGAAGGTTACTGTTAGCTAGAAGAGAAAGCTAACTGTTTGTAAACAAAGTATACGAGTAGCTAGTTCTGGGAAAGTATCTAGGCCAGCTGACTAAGTAACTATCGTGTCCAAACAGTGAATGGTCTTTGGTGTCATTCACCTTTGAGCGTATTCAGAGGTCTGATATACTCTCTCAATGTTGACATTGCAGTTATTTATGGAAAGCTAATCAGCTAGCCTAGCTACCGGGAACTGTCCTGTCAGGAGAGACGGCAGCCCATAATCCCGAGGGTCAGAAACGCCTACCTCTCAGATTGGCATGTTTAATAAATGTTACTGAGAAGGCTTTTTGGACGCTTAGAGGAGACAGGCATCAAAACACGACTGCATTAGTATACAGCACAACACTTTCCTATTTTAAGAACGCTTTCACTTTGGCATGATCGGCTGTGAGCTAAAGAGTACCCTCCCCCTGCATCAGTGACTCTGTGTTGATTTCATGTTTTGCGTGCTCCTATAAGACAGACTTGAGAGCTTTGTGCAATTTCAACCCATACATTGTATTGCATTTAATCTAAATGGGATGCATTCGATGTGACATCCTAAACTCCATTTCGTCTCCAGGATGGTGGTTGATGGAGGCAGTGGAGGGACCTGTGAGTGGGAAGGTCGATGGAATCATATCAAAAAGTTCCTCGAAAGGTCGGGGCCATTCACCCATCCCGACTTCGAGCCCAGCACAGAGGTAGAGAAGCTCCAGGGAGGATGTGATTCCAGTTCAGTCTTTCATTTATACCATCTTTAGACATATAATGTTATTGTTCTGTGTCATTACAGTCTTTGCAGTTTTTGCTAGAAACCTGCAAAATCCTGGTCATTGGCGCTGGTGGGCTGGGATGTGAGCTCCTCAAAGACTTGGTACCCACATTACTATTATCAACATTTTATCAGTAAGTTTTCAATATAAAGGAACGTTCACCATTAACTTATTTATTTTTTGATCTTTTTGCCGTATTTGTTAATCAGGCTTTATCGGGCTTTCGAAACATTGATGTCATTGACATGGACACCATTGATGTTTCTAACCTGAATCGTCAGTTCCTCTTCAGGTCAGTATACCTACATCATAAGTATTTTTCTGATAGCTATTACTAATTATTGTAAAGTTATGAACGGCAGACTCTATTTCATTTGTATCCAAATGTCACCAGGCCAAAGGATGTGGGTCGGCCTAAGGCGGAAGTTGCAGCTGATTTTATCAACGACCGCATACCAGGATGCCATGTCGTCCCGTATCCTTTCAACTGAACAACTGTTTGAAGATTTTAGAAGCTCGATCACTTGATCTTTTTGTCATGCTCCTCACACGAATACACATAAACTTAAAAATAGACCATCGGAACCAGGAAGCTTTATTTCCGACAGTACACAGAGCGTCTTCTTAAGAGAGAGCTTTTCCTATATGATTTGAACAGACATTTTAAGAAAATTCAAGACTTAGATGAAACATTCTACAGACGTAAGTACTTTAATTGCTATTTATAGCAGATCATTGAAATTTCTGGGTGGATCCTCTGAATGATTCATATTCGAAATTACAAACAGCCCCCTTTTCAAAAGCAGGACCTCATAACTGATGTTTTTCCATTCTCATTTAGCAGTTTAAGAGTTTTGAATGATACTGTCTACCACTCTGGTTTTGTACCTCCAGTTTCAGTTTGACCGTGACTGTTTAAAATATTTTAGTGTCACGTTCAATATTGATTTATTTACTTTCCTATCTTCATCTAGAATTCCATATAATTGTCTGTGGACTTGATTCTATAGTAGCCAGGAGATGGATTAATGGTATGCTGGTAAGTTTTTCCTTTTCCCTTAACTGTCCTGATGTTAGGATGATCTTAAAAAAAAAAAAAAAGGTCAAATACTTTTCAAATGTCAAAGGTTTGCACCACTGGTTCAATGATACATGCTGTATGCTTATTTATACAGTTTTCTTTCTGTGCAGCTATCTTTGCTGGTGTATGAGGATGGTGCACTGGATCAAGGGTCAGTCATTCCACTTATAGACGGCGGAACTGAAGGCTTTAAAGGCAACGCCAGAGTCATTTTCCCCGGCATGTCTGCATGCATTGACTGCACCCTTGAACTTTACCCTCCCCAGGTACGGAAACAAGTTTTCTACATAGTAATGCAACTAATATATCAGAGCAATATCTCAGTGAGTTGTTTTGTTTTTAATTGTTCCACCTGTTGTTGCAGATCAACTTCCCGATGTGCACGATAGCCTCAATGCCTCGTTTGCCAGAGCATTGCATTGAATATGTGCGGATACTGCAGTGGCCCAAAGAGGCACCGTTTGGAGGTGGGAATTCACACAGCGTAACATCTGCTGTTGTTCTCTGTAATGTGTAAGTGTAAGGCTTATTTCTTGAATATGGAATAGATGGCGTCGCCTTGGATGGAGATGACCCAGAACATATCCAGTGGGCCTACCAGAGATCTCTAGAGAGGGCAGCAGAGTTCAACATAACAGGAGTCACTTACAGACTAACGCAGGGTGAGGACAATAAGCATGTCTGTTGCCAAAGGTTGCTTCTCTGGGAAGTGAGCCAAGGTATATAAAACAGGGCAAGCCGTTGCCATATGACTGTGGAACCTTTGGTTATCTTCTGTGTTATTGTATCAAGTTTTTGTGATGTTCACTCTGAGCAGAAGATTTAAATAACTTTTGTTTCTTTTGGCTGGGATTTTAGTAATATGCGCGAATCAACAGATTCTTTATCCTCCTGAAATGTTGCAGGTGTTGTTAAAAGGATAATCCCTGCCGTAGCATCTACAAACGCTGTGATTGCTGGTAAGTAACGGCATAGCTTTTTAAAAGAGTCCTCTGTTTATGTATTAAATGGGTTCATCATTTCTTAAAAGAACTGGCCAAACACATACACACACTCTGTTGAAAAAAATGTTTTTTTTCTTTTTGCTCAGCTGCTTGCACAACTGAGGTTTTCAAAATAGCAACAAGGTGAGTTTATAAGCCTTTCTGGTAACCTTATCCAAAAACTAACTTAAATGACCTGACCGTTCTCTATTACGTATGTCTTTTTTGCAGTGCCTATCTGCCTCTCAGTAACTACATGGTATTCAATGATGTTGATGGCCTATATACTTACACCTTTGAGGCAGAACGTAAGGTTTGTCAATAACTTCCATGTTCCAGTCCATTCTTGCAACAGGAATTAAGTTGCTGGTTGAGTTGAGATACATGAGTTTTTTATTCCTGGTCTAGGAAAACTGCTCAGCCTGCAGCCAAGTACCTTTGGACTTGCAATTTTCTCCATCTTCCAAACTCCAAGAAGTGATTGACTTTCTGATTGAAAGTGTCTCCCTGTAGGTTTGCCTGCCTTACAATAACTTGAATTGTTCATTTTTTAAATTTTTTTTTTTATAGCTATCTTTGAACAAACATGTAATTTTTTTCAGGCAAATGAAATCTCCTGCTATTACAGCAACAGTGGAGGGAAAAAACAAAACTTTATATTTACAGGTAATTAAACAGATTTATTTTGTATAGTTTTATGCTTTACTGGACACATTGTGTACATTTGGACAGTAAATCTAAATGACTTATTTTCTTTCACAGTCAGTCGCTTCAATTGAACAGCGAACTCGGCCAAATTTGTCCAAAACCTTAAAGGGTGAGGTGTTTCTTGGGCTTTTTTGGTCTGTTTCACACAGTATAAGAGGTCAAATGAATTTCCTGAACTAAAAATGCCCACTTACCTCTGTTATGAACATGTTTTTCCAGAGTTGGGGCTGAAAGAAGGACAAGAGCTGGCTGTTGCTGATGTCACCTCACCCCAAACTATGTTGTTCAGGCTTTGCTTTACCTCGGAATAAACTCAAGCACTCTCAAAACCTGAACTAGAACAGTTTACAGCGAATTCAATCAGTTGGTCAGTCATTATAACCATTTAAATTGGTTTAATGTACCTGTTGACTCAAGTGGATATTTTTGCACTGAAAAACCAAGTTGTAGTTCACACTTGGTTTTGTGATTGTCTACAAATGCTAAGCTTTTCTGTTGTTAATGTAATATACATTGCAGATTCTGTGCAAACATTAGATAAATGTGAGTTTATCTATGAATTTTATTGTATAATTATTCTGATTTTGCATATTTATTTATTTGGGTAAAGTTTTTTTTACAGTAGTTGTAGCCACTGAAGCTGTTATCAACGTTGATAATGATGACGTGTGAACTGGAATAAAACGTTTTTCTTACAAATGGTGTGTGCTTTATTTACTAACTTAAAAAGTGCAGGGCTTTATGTACATATAGAGTTTGAGGGTAGTTATATCTTTCCTCAAATAATGCAATATATATTTGGAAATCCTTTTTGTGTGAGACCTTTGAGGTATTTAGATCAGGGCTCGTCATTTACAATATATTAGGTTTTGGTCAACACAGATGGGTTTATCGTAGACATATTGAACATTGGAAAAACGTTGCGGTTACGTGAAAGTAACCGATGTAAGCATTTGGACAATATTATGAAAAGAGTGAAATGTTTTTTTTGGAGGATTTTGCCGGCTGATGGGAAATGTATTCGTTTCACGCTTCCTTTACGATCCCCGGAAACATCAGTTCTATCGCCTATTTAACGATAGCTTTATTCTTTAATTAAAAAAATTAATTGAAAAATGGGCTTGAAAACATAACATCACTTAATTGATTAAAATGGAAATATTTTCCGCCACGGACTTTATTAATATTTAATTTTTCTTTGGGAATATCGGGAATACCGAGCTTCAGCTGCTGATGAAGGTAGCGTCAGACCCAGACAGAAATTGCTACGTGGATAGGAAGTGGTGAGCAGCTAATGCTAGCTAGGCTAAGTTGAGAGCGACTACCAAAACAAACGATGACTGCCAGGCAAAGAAGCCAACACAAGATTGGATTTACCATGGGAATTCATTTGATCTGACCGCTGATTAGGTGTAGAATTTCTGATAGATATTTGTACGTGACACAATTGTTATGAGCTTCATATTTGGGGTGGCAGCTTTTTTAGCTGAAACTATCTGGCACCGATGCTTTCAATGTAAACCCAAGGCTATGCGTTTACTAGCGTCAACTTCCAGCTTTGCTAATTAGCTCTGGAGTGGCTAACCGTAAACAAGGCTGTACGAAAAAACTAAAACTGACATTTGGCAACGGGCTAGCTTCGACCAACAAAAAATGCAGAGCTAGGTTAAGTGACAGTGTTTGGTTGCGTTGGAACCATTTTAAAATTCTCGCATCAAATTCGTAAGCGTTAGCTGGCTAGCTAGCTTCGTTATCAGAATGAGTTGGTTCAACGCCTCTCACTTGTCTAGCTTCGCCAAACAAGCTTTAACAACAGCTCAGAAATCAATAGATCGTGTTTTAGACATCAAAGAAGAGGACCAATGGGGTGACACAGTTGTAATGCCTTATGAAGGTAAGTGAAGCCACCTATAGTGGCTGTAACAAATCCACACTTTATAGATTATTATGACTATATGTTTCATACTTGAATGTGTGTTATGTTTTTTTTGTCAGACGTTTCATTACCAGGGAAGCTTTCTTTGAGTGGAGGGTGGGGGATGACGCAGTGGGAAGCGCCTGCTGAGGAAAAGACCACCACTCCTCCTCCATCCTCAGAGGCCATTACTACTCCTGTCACGCGTACTGTTGTGGATGAATCAGAGAACTTCTTCAGTGCCTTTCTGTCGTCCGGAGACGTACAAGCTGTCACCAAATCCCAGGTTGTGTCTGTACCCCCCTCTAAGTCTCAAAGACGACCACAAGAAAAAAAGGAAAGTGAAGTAGCTGTGGCCCAAAAAGATGAGAGCCAAACGTCGGGACCTGTTGACGAGAGTCTTGAAACTCAAACAGTTGTCGAGAAGCAGCCTGAGGAGCCCAAGTCGTCAGCAGTAGCATCTAATGTGGATGCAATCCCGCTTCTCCCAGTCTCTCCTGCTCCTTCTTCCAGTGAACCCCCATCTGACACTAAGGGTGAGGAGACCAGTGTAGAACCAGATGTTACTTTAACGCTTTCTGAGGAATCAAAAACTGGAGACTTTGACTCTTCTCCAAGCCAACAGTTGGAACAGGATGACAAAAAGTCCACTGAGCCTCCTGCTTCTGAGGATAAGAGCTCCACCCACGCAGATCCTTCGGCTTCCACATCTTCTAAAGAAGTATTTCCTGATCACAAAGACTTGAAGGCCGAGGATCGCCAAAACGAAACACCGTCCCCTCCAGTTAGCGCTTTCTCCTCAGGAACCTCAACCACCAGTGACATTGAAGTTCTCGACCATGAGAGTGTGTTGAGTGAAAGCTCCGCCAGCTCCAGGCAGGAAACGGGTGAGAGCAAAACTGGCCTTCACTTGATGCAGGGCTCCTTCCAGCTCCTCACTGCCTCCACCTGTGGGGATTTTCCCCGCCTGGAGGACTACCCCAAACTCACAGAGAGCTGCGGCTCCTCCTCTGATGCGTTTGAGCGGATCGATTCGTTCAGCCTGCAGTCCCTGGATAGCCGGAGTGTCAGCGAGGTGAACTCGGACGACGAGAGCCCCGGCAGCCGGACTCTGGCGTCGGTCACTGCGGGCGCTGCTTCTTTGTCAGCGTCATGTCAGAAGCAGGAGGACGGGGTGGTGGAGAAGGTGGCTGAGGAGGAAGAGGAAGAGGTGGAGGGATTCACTGAGACGGCAAGGGAGCAGTCGCTGGATGAGATGGAGGAAAGCGGGCGCAGTGCAACACCTGTGAACAGTGAGCCGGCCGAAGAACTGACCGAGCTGGGAGGTGATGCTACTGTGTCCACTGCAGAGGAACAGGCCACTCCACCAATCACAGAGGAGATGAAGAGCGTGTCCACCGTACAGATATTGGAGCTTCAAAAGGTGACTAGTCCTGAGGTCCTTTTATAGCCGTCAAGTTTTTAAAAATTGTATTTACACTTTGTAGAGGTACTGTTGAGTTTTGTTACAATATGTTCTCCGGAGCAGTATGTATTTTTGTTTGATACTGTAATAGTTTCAGACATATCAGTCAAGGCTTCACATGTCTTGGGATATCTACCTCTTAATGAAGAGTCTCTCATTATATCTATGATCCATATTGGATTAAATTGTAATGCATCATCCTCTTGATTTTCTGTCCGTGTATGACATATTGTTGATTTGTTGCAGGTTATTGATGATCTGTCAAGCCGCCTGGAGAAGAGAGAGTCTCAACTGCTGGTAGTCAGCAAAGACAAGGCCAAGCTAGAGGAGGAGTGTGACAACTTGAAAGAGTGAGTGTGTGCCACACTGATCTGGTTCACAGGGACACTGTAAGTAATACAGCTGATATACAAGTCAAGCAAAACATAGCAAACACAGTACCACCTTTAGTAGACAACTTCCTTGTGTAAATCAGCATTAAATTTGGTTGGAGGCTTTCAAATGATTTATGCAGCCACAGAATACCATCATGGTGACACTTGTCAAATTGAGTTTTTAAAATAGTTTTTTACTTGGTCTTTTTCTCTTGAGACGGTCTGTCTGTTGGATGTTGATATCAAGAATAAGCTCTTACACTGAGTGTGTTCCCCCTCAGTGAAGTGATAAGCCTGAAAGAGGAGAGCTCCACCGTTCAGTCCCTAAAGGATGAGTTCACACAGCGCATAGCAGATGCAGAGAGAAAAGCTCAGCTCGCCTGCAAAGAGAGAGACATTGCCAAGAAGGTAACCCAGATAATGGTGGCCTTAGTCGTTACTATATCTCCAATCAGATAGAAGAGTTTTATAAGGCCATTCAACTTCTGTATTTACCAACCCCACTAGAAAGACACATTTCTTTTTCTGTCAAAGATGTTCTTATATATTTATTGTGTTTTAGGAAATAAAGGGCTTGCGAGAGGAGCTTTCAACAAGGCTAAACTCTAGTGATACAATGGAGATCATCAGAGAGAAGGAGGAGCAGATCAGAGGTCTGCTGGAAGAGGGTGAGACTCATTTTTTCCACAGTTCCAGCCACAGAAAACACCCGTTGTGTCATGGAAATGTTGGACTGAGTCAAATCTAAGAAAGACCCAAAGCTCCCTAGCCATCTATGGATCAGTCAACACAAGCTGATATTCTGTGTCTGTCTTTAAACAGGAACTTCACAAATGTTTTCTTTTCTTTTGAAATGTTCATTCTGCCTTGTCTGGACAGTATTTAATGAAGAGCGAACATTTAGCCCGGTAGGCGTGTTAGGAATTGAGTGTAAGAAGTCACAGGTGCACAAAGTAAACCTGCCGGGTTATGGCAACTTCCTCTCATGATTACAGAGAGCTAACAGAGAGTCCCAAAGGCTAGAGCAGTGTTGTCTGTTGTGGCATTAACCACTTTCCATGGAATTGTCTGCGAGGGTAGCAGCATATTGACTGCAGACAGGAAGAGGCTGAATGAAATGATCAAGAAGACTAGCTCATGTTTAAGCGACTCCCACCAGATGTCAGAATTCGCAATCGGCACCACTCCCAGTTGTCCACACCCCTAATTAGGATGATCACTGTGCAATATTCATTGTGTTTCATGTTCTTGCAATATCTTTTAGCGCAACAGGTTAATATCATTTAGGTGAGCTTTGATTGTGTCCACAGTGTTTTCCATTCAGCCTAGTGTTACATTTCTATAGTTAACCTACTGCATACTACTGTGTTGTAGAATTAATATTTTTTAGATGGCTTTTTATCAGATGCTGTAATGCCCAAATTTCTCCTTTTTGGGAATAATAAATGAATATCTTATCTTTTTTTAAATTAATTTTTTTAGATTTTTGTTGGCTCTAGTGGCCTTTAATGACAGTAGCTTGACAGGAAAGGGGGCAGAGATAAAATATCTTATCTTAAAACATTTTCACCCGAAATTCACAATGGTGTGCGTTCTTCTTCATGAAAGACAGGACTAGGATCTGCAAATGTTAATGCCTTTAATGCCTTTTTTAATATTAAAATCTAAAACCTTGTGATTCCCCCCCCGCCCCCACCTTTTTACTGGGTTATTGTATGTATTTCCACAGCTGCTGTTATAAGTTTGAATGAAGTGACTGAGCTGGAGTTTACTTGTCTGGCGTCTAGGGGAAAAGCTCTCCAAGCAGCAGCTGCAGCACAGCAACATAATCAAGAAACTGCGTGTGAAGGAGAAGGAGAGCGACTCAAAGATCGCCAAGCAGCAGAGGAAAATTAAGGAGCATGAAGAGGAGCTCCGCCACCTGCAGCAGGTTGGAAGTTAAGCATACTGACAGATTTTACCACTAATATACATTCATTCTTCACCTGAGATATATTTACTATAGTCTTTATTGCTGGTTATGTGTCATTAGGTTCTAGATGGGAAGGAGGAGGTGGAGAAACAGCACAGGGAGAACATCAAGAAGCTGAATGCTGTGGTGGAGCAGCAAGAGAAGGACTTGAGCAGGCTGCAGCTTGACTCCGATGATCTGCAGGAGAAAAACAGGAGTCTACAAGCTGCTCTTGACAACTCCTATAAGTAAATACAGACACACCCAGATCCTGAATGCTAACAACTTGAGCTCTTAAAGGCCAACTCATTCTTAACATGCATACAGACTCATGCTGCCTTTCAACAAAACAATGTAGAAACCTGTATTTCCTATCTCCTAAAAATAGGATGTACTTTGGTTTTCAATCTATTTAGATTATTATTGTGTTGTAGTGTGTATAATTTCCTACTTTTAGCTGTGGGAACAGACTGGGCTACAGCACCGTGTCAGGAATTATTTTTGAAGTACATTGTGTTATAGAAGAGTGTGCAACCAGAACATGTTGCCATCCTTTCTCAAAAATAAATGTACCATGTACACAGGCACGTTGCTTTACATTGTGATGAACCAGTGAAATTTCACTAAGTAATGTTGGTAGGTTTGGTTTTATATCCTGTGTTCAAATGAGCGGAGCAAAGAGATGTGACTTTTCCTTCTTTTAACATCATGAGTATTGACTTGTTGTCATGTTGTGATGGCCTCCATTTGTAAATATGTTTTCAGGGAACTTGCAGAACTTCACAAGGCACATGCCAGCCGAGCCAGTGAGGCTCAAGTGGCAGCGGTTAGCAGGGAAACCCAGGCCAAAGAGCAGCTGGGCCTGCTTCTTGAAAAGGCCCAGGAGGAGGCGAGGATGCAGCAGGAAGCACTGTCCAACCAGGTACCGAACGTCTTCATCCACCTTATATGATCACTGACCAGGTTTGAAGGCCTAATGGTCTCACTGGCAACTCATGTGAGACACTGAAAGTAACATTCCCCATTTTCATATATCTTCTCATTTATCCATTATGTTATGATATGATGATCAGTCATGGCTATTTTTCTGTGGCTGTCCACAGGTGGCTGACTTGAGGCTTGCCCTGCAGAGGGCTGAGCAACAGCAGGCAAGAAAAGAAGATTACTTAAAGGAGGAGATCAGTGAGCTCCAGCAGGTAACAAAATACCCGATATATGGTGTCCACCTGTGCCTTACAATCGGATGCAAAAACAATGTTAATGTTGACTAAAGGAGGATTTATTTGATGCATTCCTTTTTTCTTTTCCTCCTTCAGAGACTGCAGGAGGCTGAGAATAGGAATCAGGAGCTCAGCCAGAGCGTCACCTCGGCCACACGGCCCTTACTGCGACAAATTGAGAACTTGCAGGCCTCACTGGGTGGACAAACTGCATCCTGGGAAAAACTCGAGAAGAATATCTCTGACAGGCTTGGTGAGGAGCGGGAGCTGACCTGTTTGTTTGGTGGTTCTTGTGGGAAACAAATGCCCAGATTAGTGAATTGTGCTGTAAGCTTGACTGTTTTTTGTGCTCCTTCTCAAAAGTGGATGCTCAGGCACAGCTGGCTGTTGCCGTGGAGAAGGAGAGAGCAGCGTCCGAGGAGCTGTTATCCATCAAGTCTCAGCTTGCCTCTCTAGAATCCCAAAATTCTTTGCTGCGGCAAGAAAAAGCCAGACACATGGCACAACTGGATGCTGAGAAAAACAAAAGAGAGAAACTGGAAGATGAAAGCAGCAGGTAGAGTGGAAACTCGGGTGTGATGGGTTAAATTATGATGTAAATCAATTATTCATCATAGCGTTAAGAACCTTTTGATCAAGCAAACATCTGTATGCATTTGGGATACATGTGGGGATAGCAGTTGGAGTTGATGTATGTATTTAAGTAGGTATAAAAAACTGAATTGTGAGTTGACCTATTTACCCTGTTTTGTTCTTATCAAAGTGTTTGTAAAAACTACATAAAGATAACTGTCAAGCTAGAAAGCCAAAAAGCACCCGATCACAGTAGGATTTGTCTCCTCTTTTTGGAGCAAACTAATGGGAAAAGCTTGTTGAAAAGCTCTTTTCTCTCTTGCACAGATTGTCTTCTCTGTAAAATGATGTTCTGTGTGTGGATGAGAAAGCATTTTTCTGCCACCATAAAGATAAAGCTGTGTATGGGTCTGCAAAGAGATGGGAAGAAAACAGAGGCATATTGTTTCAGTGGAGGATGAAATCCAGTATCCCCCTCCCCAATCAGTAGTGTGATTTATGTAATATTAATCAGATTTTATGTTTATGCCTATTTATTTTTTAAACAGAGAACATATTGAATTGACAAATCTGCGAGGGGAGCACAGCCGCATGCTAGAAGAAGCCAAAAAAGAGAAGGTACCAGAATCCTCTTCTCACATGCGTTGTTATCCTGTATGAAAATAGCTCCTCATGTGTGTCTTATTGCTATGATCACCAGCTGTTGCTGTCAAACCAGCTAGAGATGGAGAGGATGAAGGTAGAGCAAGAGAAGAAGAAGTGCTACCTGGCACAAGAAGCACTAAAAGAAAAGGTTTTTGAAGATGTTGTAAAATCCATCAACAGCTAAAATGATCAGTTTGATTGAGCAAGTTTGATCTCCAACTTGGCCATTTAATGTCTGCCCTGTCAGGAGCGGAAAGCTATGAGCCTTTCTGTTGGAGAGCCCCCGGCGTCCTCCACACCCTCCCTGTCTCGCTCCAGCTCAATCAGCGGGACAGATAACGCTGGACTGCACGCTTCTTTTCTGTCTCAGGTGAACCTGGCTTTTCTCATACTGCCAGTCAGAATGTATTTATTGCATGTATGTATGTGTGTATATATATATGAATACACTGAACAGTTTTACAATGAAGATTAGTTTTGTGAATTTCACTGACTGAATATCTTATAATATAATATCTTATCTGTGATATCTTATATCTACAGGATGAAGCAGACCATTCTCTGGGAACAATGACCATGTCTATGTCAATGAGTGGGACCAACCTGTATGAGGCAGCCAGACTGTCTGGAGGCTCCAGCATCCTAGAGAACCTGCAGTCTCAGCTCAAACTGAGAGAAGGAGAAATAGCACAGCTGCAGGTGGGACTTCCGACTGACGGCATGAAAGTTTTTACTTAAAAAAAAAAGAAGTAGTATTATTTACTTTTTTGGGATGTTTTGATCAAGTGCAAGCTGTGTGCTGCTGTTTTGGCTGCATTTTTTTGTTGTTTTCTCAGCTCGAGATTTCCAATTTGGAGAGAAGTCGCTCAGTTATGGCAGAAGAGCTGGTTCGACTTACGAATACAAACGACGAGATGGAAGAGAAGGTGAAAGACATCCCCAAGCTCAAAGTTCAGCTCAAGGTACGGAGCCATACAGCATAAAGAAACATGTAAATGCTCCTGTGTTTGTATTGAGTACAGCTTCTGATGGCAGACTGTGATTAGTGGAGAAGCACCGGGAGAAGATTCTGATTTATCTTGTCGTGCATTTCAGGATCTGGAGCAGAGACACAACACCATTCTACAAATGTATGGAGAAAAGGCGGAGGAAGCAGAAGAACTGAGACTGGACCTTGAGGATGTAAAAAATATGTATAAAACCCAGATTGATGAATTGCTGAAGAACCAGAAATAAAGTGGTTCACTAACGGGACTTCTGGGGGCAACAATCAGTGGACAGTTTTATTCACAAATGTGTTCACAAACAGACATTGGGAAAATCATTTTAGTTTAATCACTGTGAAGATTTTTTTTTCTTTATTATTTTATTTCTATTAATGATCACACACTTTATTTAAGCAGGGATGTCGGGGTTTTCTTAAACACATTGTGGAATTAGTATGAAGGATAGTCACTCTTTGAGTCACTCACATTTTGACTCTTTGGATTTACTTAGACACAGCTTATGATTAAATCTGTCATAATGTCATGCATAAAGACTTCTGAAGTGTACAACACGCTGAATGTTTTTGCACTAGACAAATTCATATATCAATATTAAATGCACATTCATGACGGTGTATAGATTATGTGTATATAAATACTGCTGTACAGAGAAATGTATGTATTGTAGGTGTAGACCTGAGAGTAATCGGTGATAGAAATCCTGAAGAGTGGATTTGAAACTGTAAACATATGTAAATGAATAAACGTTTATTTGATCGATGGTTAATTTAAATGCCATAAATCCACGTCTTAAAGTCACAGAGTAAACAGAAATTCACACATGATTTTAATGCTGTTGAGACTTCCAATAAATCTCCGGGTCGTAAATAATTTAGTGTATGCTGTATTTTTGTTTGGTTTTGTTGCTGGTTTAAAGACTGAATCTGAGACACAGATCGGATATTCAGTAAGAAACTAACAATAAGTGTAGCATCGGGGAAGGGGCGTTTTTTAATAACGCCATTAGTGAAAAAAATAGGAATGGGACAGTAAAATGCTCTGCCTAATCTCGTTATTTGGTTCAAACCTTTTCAGTTGGAAGATGCTGAGTGCTTGTAGATATTTCCGTTCACAGCGCAGTGGCGCCATCTTGCGGCTGCAGCGCGGTAGCGCAGGCCGTCAGCACCAGATTTCCGGTGTTATGGCGACAGCCGGCGGCAACATCATTGCCTCAGCATACGGAGAGAAATCTGCGGTTTTTAAGGTAAACTGACTCTTATTCCGAAACCCCACCCCAACACTGTAGACCAAAACCTATGCTGGCTTTGATCTGTTAAGAATACTGGCACTGCGAAATGTCAGTGTTTGTTTGTTTTTGTGTTCCTGTGTAACTCGTGTATCACTAACTGTCCAGTTTAACTTCATCTTAAAGGGGTCCCTGTCTTTGTCAATAACTAGTGCTAAACGTTAGCCACCGCAGGAGATATTAAAGATGTTAGAGAGCTATTTTAAGTTGCTGTTTGTTTGCTGGACGAAAGAGTGGAGTAAGTAACGTGTTATGACCCCCCTGGACGTGCAGATTAATCTCGGATGCTTAATAAGCCCCTTAGTGGTCCCGGTCATCTGCCGGGAAGTTGAGTTGACGGAAAGCTAGCTTAAAATTTGACAGTGACATATCTGGCGATTAGCTGTTTAATTAGCCGTCGAAGTCCAACTTTTTCCGTTTCCTAAAACCTCAGGCCAAACAAGACGATAGTGTAGCGTTTTGAGGATAAATTTGGTAAGAGCTTGCATTAAAAACAGCCTTATTTGAGACACAAACGGACAAGAAATCTTGTAAATTCTCCTAAGTAGGTCAAGCTTCCCAAACCGTTTCAATGGTTAAACGTGCAACTGTCCTGATAAAAAAAAGAAAAACACCTGGACAAGTAAATGCAACGATGAGTTGGTGTTGGTCGTTTTATCTTTAAATACAATCATTTCAAGAGCCTTGGTACTCTTGCAAATAGTTTTAAGACCAGTTGGAGTCTTCCATCCATAATGGAAGACCTTCCTTTTTATGGAGAAAAATTAAATGAGCCAAATGTATCTGAGGTACTATAGTTAATGGTTTAGTTCCTGTGAACTATGTATTGTTGTTTACATATTTGATAAATGGCTCCACAGGGATCATGCTACTTTTAAAGCTGCATTTTTAATGACAGAGGCACCATATAAATCACCTGAGTTGTTTGGTGGCTAAAGGGGGGGAAGATCAGCAGAAGAAATCTGATACTTCTCATTTACACTGTGGGATGATCTGTTTTTTTAAGGAGCTATTGGGAGATTAAACTTTTGTCTGAAATAAAAGTAAATGTGAAGTTTAACTGATGAAATGTATTCTTCGTGTAACTTTACACTCGTTCTAAAACATCAGCAGAAACGTTTAGGAACTTGTGGTTTAATGTTTGATCTCAGTTTTTATTTTTTAAGCTAAGTAAAATGACCCGTTGTGTAAAATCTTTACAATCAAAGTAGGAAGTACCTTGCCAAGTCGATGCAGTGAGTTAGAGAGCGCAACATTTCATAATTGTGATACAGTATTTCATTCAAAATATTCACTTACCGTCAAGTGCTCATTTCCTTAACATTATCAAATGTTTATCATTAATGAGTGTTTATAGTTCAGTCCTTGCCACCTATTGTTAACAAACCTATTTTCTCTCTTCCTTTGGCTGTGAAAGGTTGGGAGGCCATTGTTGTACTACAATGAGGGTACCACTTTGAAACAGGTCGTACTGTAATGTTCTGTCATCAGTCACTGGTCTTAAAAGTGAAGGATGTCATTTTCTCTGGGCATGTTTAAGCACATGCACATTTGAGACTTTTGACTGAATCTCTTGGATCCTAGAGTATAGCCGTGATGGAACTGCTGCACAGGTCACATTAATACCAGCCGGTTGGGCTCATTTGCCAATCCGGACCCGGTAATAATTGTTCAGACAAGAGGTGGAAAAAGGTCAGCGTTGTTTCCTGCTGCCGGATCTGTCCTTACGAGGAGCTCAGATCCGCCCGCAGCTACGTTCCCACACGCTTGTTTGTGCCCACATGCTTTTGTGCTGCGGTGGGAGGCATTTAACCAAGATCACAGAGTTACAAGTCTGTGTCTCTTCTCACAGAGGTGCTGTGAAAAGAGGCGACTGTTTCATATGTCTGTGCGAGTCTGACTATGCTGCTCTCGGTAGCGCTGGGCATAGTTTTCTCCCTCGGCGCGGTCACCTCTGAGAAGGCTGCCGTCGACAGGCGCAACCACAGCTGGATCTCCCTGCCGCCAGAGCACTCCCCCTACTTCCTCTCCAACAACAAGAGGGTCGCCAAGCTATGCCGCCTGGACCCACTCTGCCCTTTTAAAGTAAGATATGAAGCCTGTTGCTGTGACTATCATTCTGCAAATATTTTCTCAGGGTAGAGCTCAGGGCTTGTTTGTACCTCTGAGTTTGTTATCCTTTAAAGAAAGCAGTTGGTAATCGGTGTCTGTGTTGCACTTTATTCCTCAGCAGAGTGCTGTCGCAGTGATGTTGTTGAGTTAAGTCAACAGTTGGGTCTATAATCACAATAGCAGGTGTAGCTGGACAGACAGTTTTCCTATTTTAACTGTATTTTTTTAGATTTGGTTTCTCTGAAACATGATGGAAATCTCATATCTTGAACTTAGATTATTCCAGTAGCATTTCATTAACCCCGGAAGGGAAGTGATTGTTTTCGAGTAGTGAGAGAAAATAAATGAATGAGAAACTTGCAAGTGCAAAATGCAGACATGTAAATGAGATGGCCAGAGAGACTTTTTTTCTTGGGAGCAGTTGTTAAGTGCTCATGTTAAGTGGCGGCTGAGCTACTAAAATCCCATGTGCACGGACAGGTTGGCTCAGGAAACCATGAGTAAATAATCAGCCCTTAAACTTTCACCTCTCACTTTTGGCGCCATCTCATTCCATAGTTATTTAGACTGAGCTGACGCTTTGACCACTTGTTTTTGCAACAGGATGCACTGCAGGATCTCTCTTTCTGCTGGGGTTATGAGAAGAACTGCGATCCCGGGAAACGCTTCAGCTATCCTGTCTGTACCAAGGCTAACTCTGGATGGTACTATTTATGAAATCACCTTTACCGTTTACAAACTGTATCGCTCAAAATGTACTCTCCCAGCCTGTCTTTAACAGATGTCACATTCTCAGTGGCTGAAATGTTATTGGTACTGACTCACTCCGACATTATTCCAAAGTAAACGTGTGCTCATCTGGATAAATCTGTCAGGGCCAGTTCACTGGAGGCCGCCCAGGAGCTTTTCTGGAAGCAGGCGGATTTTGGCTATGTCAAAGAACGCCTCTCTGAGCTCAGAACACTCTGCAGGCCAAGCAAGCCAGTAAGTCTGCTGGTTTCCTCCGTTCCCACAGGCTCCCATAGTAAACAGGAAGAAATAATTGGTTGACACACAACAGAGGAGTTTACAAACAATGGGCTTGAAATATAGAGCGGTTTAAAAGCCGTGGTATACATAATTCAGTAAAGAAACTGTTCTAAGTCAGAGCTCCTTAAATATGTTCCTGAGACATGAAATATCCACCGTTCCCTCTTCCAGGGGGATTCTTTATTAAGATGCAGTCGTCACACTAGATTCTGTAGGGCAACAAATCTTTACCTGGACTTGCGGAAGCCACGCAGAAGTCATGAGAGGTACATTTATTATTTCTCCATTCACTCTTTTTTTTTTTTCCTCTTTTGCTCTCACTAATTGAAATTCAATCGTGCGTGTGCTCCAGGTACCAAGAGGACTTCCTACAGGCGGGTGAGATCGGTGGCCACTGCAGACTGGATAAGCAAGCGCTTGTTGCTGAGGGTGATCACAAGAGTCCTTTACAGTCATGGTGAGCCAGCCCTTTATGCCCGGCCACGGTACTTCAGGATGAAAAACCTTCAAGCACCTCTAATGACTTTATGTTGATGGTGAGGTCATGCATGTGGGTTTGGAGCTTAACCAAGTGGGGCCAATCTAATGGCTTTGCTCTAGCAAAGTTAGTAAAGAAGACAGGGTTACCAAAGCTGCTTTTCTCCCTCCCATTCCTGTGCTCCTGCTGTACGGCTGCGGTTTTGCTGACCGTGCATCTAAAGTCTCACACTTAGCAGAGTCAACTGTGTACTTTCAGTATGACGCTGCTCTTAAAAGATGTGAAGCCCTGCTAGCAACTGCAATAGACACAAAGGAATTTGCTCCAGCATGTGGGAACAATGGGCCGTTAGAGAGACCCCCGACCCCCTCCTACCCCCCCGTTCTGTTGTGTGATCTTTTAGTGTAGATCCACTGGTCCCTATATAGGGCCAGTGGCGCAATGGATAACGCGTCTGACTACGGATCAGAAGATTCTAGGTTCGACTCCTGGCTGGCTCGGATTTTTTTTTTCTTCATTCACTTATACTAAACTGTGAGTTAAGAATGGCCATAGATGTCTATAACCTACTCTTAAGGCTGTTTTTCTCACCCTCGGTCCTCAGGGCCCACAGTCGTGCGTGTTTTCCATGATGCCCGGTTACAGCACACCTGATTCAGATTAATTTGTTGTTGTCATCCTTCTGCAGAGCTGGTCCTGACGACCGAGGTTAAAAAACACTGTCCTAAGGCATGAGTCTATTATGTATTTCTCTCACTGTTTAACTACTTCAGAGATCAAATTAAGGACCAAAACTTTTCAGTTGGAATTAGTCCTTGATGGTTTACAAAAGAAAAAATTGAATGAAAAAAATGAAATAAAATAAATAAACTTGTCAATCAGTATTTACAAAGTTGCTCGGTGTATAAATTACCATTGTTGCACACGAGCGGGTTATTGCAAATAGTGAAGTACATTAAAGTGGATAACTGAAGAAAAGTCAGCATAGGTGTGTGTAAAACAGTCATGTCTGTGGTGCAGAAACAGAATTCAAATTCCAGTAAATGTTTCATGAATTTATTGATCTTGTGGAAAATCAAATTAGGGGAAACACATCGGTTTCTTCTATGCGTCCCTTATGAGGCCACAGCAATACTTCTCAGGGACCAGCGCTACTCTTAAATGACTCATTTTGTCGAACAATCCCTCAGAAACTTTGTTTGCACTGAGCTTTTAGTTGTCTTTGTTTAGACCATTTGTGCAGCCTTGGATGTGTTTTATGATCTGGGGAAAGTGTCAGCTGTAGCGGATGCTCTGTCACAGTACAGCACATCCAGTGCTCTTCTTGAGTGGAATAGACAGGAGTCTGGCACCAGAGGTACAAAGCTTGCTTGAGAAGTATAGTAGTAAAGCAGACTCATATTTTCTCTTTCTACTTCTCACAGACGATGAGACGTGGATGTGAACTGTAAAACCTGCCATCTACTGACAACGAACTATCTTCAGACTCGGAAACAGAAAGCGTGCACTCGATATTTGAACAGAAAACATTGCATTAGTCATGGGATTTCTACATTTCTTTTTCACTTTGTGCTCATATTCCTCTGAATAGAACATTTAGCTGCTTCACTTACAACTGCATTGGTCTTGTAGGTATGCTGAGCTGCAGACATACACAGAGCTAAACCACCCTCCCATAGAAGATGGACAGTGTGACGTCATCGTTGAAAAACCCACTGTTTTCATGAAACTTGATGCAGGTAAGTAAAAAGACACAGTAGTAGCAGTGATAAGTGTCAGCCAACACTGCATCAAAGCCCTCCCAGAGTTTCTAGGGTGTTTTTTCTGCCTCTGTCAGATCATTGTATTTTTCCTTTCAGGTGTAAACATGTACCACCACTTCTGTGACTTTGTCAACCTCTACATCTCCCAGCACATTAACAACTCCTTCAGCTCGGATATCTACATCGTCATGTGGGATACGGTAGGAACGTGTTGCCCCCCCGCTGCCTTTCCCGTGGAGCAGAGGGCGGTAAATCACATTTGCCACGCTTCTGTTTCAGCTGAGCATACATACCCCGAGCAGTTGGTGCTACACCGCTGATCACTTTCTGGAGAAAATGTGTTATCACCACTTAAAATCAGGGCAATTTTCAGTTCATAGCACGTTTAAAGTCTCACCAGGGAATTTAGAAGTGCCTATTGCTGATATTTCAGTAAAAAAAATAAAGGCACTCCAACGCAGCAGCACTTTTCTAAATTTGTGGGACAAAAAGATCTCCACTTTAACCAGTTACTGCAACACCCATCACATTTTGTCAGGTTTTATTTTCCTATTGGCCTGAATATGTTTTGTAACTATGAGGATCAAAAGGCTGTGGTGCAGGTAGGGGATGCTGGTATCACACTTGGTTATCTATCAGGCAAAAAAAAGCTAGATTTTTCCACAGGTTTTAGTAAATATGTGAGGGCCTCTCCCCAAAGTCCAAAACAAAGAGGGGGAGGGATAGTAATGAATGTAAAGATAGCTAATTTTGATTGTTGTTTCTGGTTGTCTTTGTTTCTTGTTTCATCCTTCTGAATGTTTTTACACAGAGTCATTATGGATATGGAGACCTGTTCAGTGAAACCTGGAGGGCCTTCTCAGATTATGACATCATCCACCTCAAGAGCTACGACTCAAAAAGAGTCAGTATCACCTGGGTGGTATCCGTAGAGTGTTAAAGTTAATTTTGGAGTATTAATATACAATCATAGCCCATTATTGTGAATAAGGTTTAAGGTTATAATTATTAAGGTTTGTTTAATTTTCCACCTGCATCAGTTAATTAAGTGACTCCAGATAAACAGATAAGTGTCTTTGGGCTTCATATCTGAGGCATTCTAGGGCTGACAAAGTGTTCACACATTCACAGTGCATGTGAGCGCAGCACCATATTAACTTAAATGTCATTCTGAACAATTGCTGTGTTGTTTTTTTTATTCACGTTTTTCCATAGGTTTGCTTCAAAGATGCTTTCTTTTCCCTTCTACCCAGAATGAGATACGGCCTTTTTTATAACACTCCTCTTGTAAGTTATGTCTTTTCTGGTGTGTGTGTGTGTGCGTGTAGTGAGTGTTGTGGAAATAATAGAATGTAATGTGCGTTGGTAGAGCTGAAACACGTTTGATCCCCCTGAGTAGAAAGTATTTTGGGTGACTGATTAAGTAACAGTTACATGTCAGAGAAAAATGAGAAGCTATTTTAACATTTTCACATCTGTGGATTTGTCACTTTTGTGAAAGTTTGGTATAAATCTTGAGCTGAGTGACTATTTTCACAAGTCAGCTCAAAATTAGCTGATAAAATAAATATTTTTTGCAGCTTATTTTAATTCCTCTGTAAGTTTTCCTTTCTTCTAAGTTTTTCCTTGATTCTTAGACCAAAAACAACAAAACCAGCTCTATTTCTTTTTTTCTGTAACGTGAAGAAATCTTAGTATATCCGTTTTTTCTAATGTGAGACACACAGGTTCCACCACCCACTCACTTACTGATATCTGTCATGCAGTTTATGTCAAATATTTATGTAATGTATTCAGTAGATGTGGAAGTGCTTATTTTATTTAGATGATTCCAAGGAGATGTCTATAAAGAGGACAGCACATAAATATGTGTTGTCCTGGGATTCAAACCTTGAGGTGTGAAATAGTTCTCGGTCAGCCTCAAGCTGATGCTGATTACGCCTGCAGCTTATATCATGTTTATATTCATGTGCCCACACTTACGACTGCGCTGCAGGAGTCTGTATGTGAGATTCTTAGGGCTTGAGAAGGCTCATTTGATATTCATTTCATGGAAAGAGATAAAGAAATACGTCTCCGATTGTCGGATTCCCGGCTCTAAATGTATTTTCCTCTCAGTCCAGCGGTGCAGCAGCTGCACTCGCGTTCACTTGAAATAATCACAGCCAACAAAAAAACAAGCAAAGGGATTTGTTTTGACCACAGAGTAAGAGGAACGGCATATTTGAATGAATTTGACTGTGATGATTGCAGATCTCAGACTGCTACACCGAAGGGATGTTCAGGGCCTTTTCTCAGCACGTCCTGCACCGGCTGGACATTCCACAAGACCGGCCAAAGGTGGGGCAGTAACAAGGCTTGTGTGCGATGTGAACATTTTTTAAAATTAATTCTATGGGAAACTTATTCTTATTCTATTGGGCAGTTAAGAAAGAAAATCACGACTGATGATTGCTCTCATGATTTCTGAAACTTTCCACTAAAAACAAAGCAGTTCTGTTGTTTCTTAACCCAAACAAAAGATTTGGCTGATGACTGTGATCATTACCAATTTGTTTTTCTGTTTGCCAGCAAGATTACTCTCACGGCCATCTGAATTCTATGGAGGCCATGAAAGTCAGTGGAGCGTTGTGGCGGAGCAAAGCAAGAAATAATTAGATTTTGATATGGATCAGGAGGAACTGTGGTCTCTGACCACTTCTGTTTGTGTATGCCAACAATTCACCCCCCACCGTAGGAATATTTACACCCATTAACACTGCTCAAGAGCCACGTGGGTGATGAGGTGCATTTCACAAAGGTTGTTCTGTCATCGACAGCGGAACAGATACCGGTACATAATTTTACTAACTTGTTTGAATCAGATTTGCAGTGATGATAAAAATGGTCCCTCCTTGGCCGGTGTGAGAGGACCAAATCACAGCTACTGTTTTAGCTACTGCCTTTGAGAAGAAAGAAAATAGGCGTGTGGTCATAGAGCGGTGACAGTATGAGTCCAGTGTTACGTCATGTTTGGTTGACTGGAACGTTTGACCTGTACAGGTTCCTAAGTCACCACTGAAGGGTTGTGATCGCTAGTTTTGTTTCAGTGCACGTCTGTCTGATTTGCATGAAATCTTACCAAGAGCCTAAACATGGTCCTAATTCTGTTGATATAATTGATTGTTCATTCATTCTTTAACAAATTGTATATATTTTTTATCACTTAAACTTATTATTACTTGCTGTTGTTTTCGTTCTCCTCATTCTCCCATTGTCTGTCTCATCTTCCTCTTAGTTAAAGATGAGAGACTGGAGCTCTTCTGAATACTTGTATAAAACTATAACTAGACATTGTAGATGCTTTATTATGTAACGATGGTTGCATGCATTCATTCATTTTTTAATATTTTGCTGTGATCTTTAGTGATTTCTCCCAGTTGTCACTACTATCGTCTCGTGCTGAGAGTGTGAGGACTCTGTGAACACAGGGTGGCAGTAGAGACTGCAGAAATGAGAGGACCTGTCAAATGGCCTCACAACCTAAGGAAAGCTCATTACAAAAACAAGCCTTTTCCTTTATAGAATGGAGCTCTAATGGGATTTCAGACCATCCACCCTGTCTGCTTTCTGTGCGTGTTTAGCAGTTGATGCATAGCTCGCATTCATTTTGACTTAGCTGCATTTTTTCCCCAGCTGTCTATCTTTTCTGTCCTTGACTGATGGATTTTCGGGCACACTGTTATTTTCAGGAGGGGCGTGTTCGTGTCACCCTGCTGGCACGCAGCACAGAATACAGAAGGATACTTAACCAAATCGAGGTGAGTTCCCAACCACTCTCTCTCTTTCTTTTTGCTCTTTTTTCTCTTTCTTATTCTTTGTTTTTTAACTTTCTTTCATCCTTTTTACTTCATTCTCGGCCCTTCTCTTCCACTTCTTCTTTTCTCCTATTTCTCCCTACTTAGTCAACCCTCCTACTTCCCTCACCCTCTTCACCTCTTCCCTCTATTGATTTACTGCCTGTCTCCGTTAAATGCTTGTTTGAAATCTTATTTGCTATAAGCAGTACAAGTTCGAAAAAGCTTGTGATTTATATTGTCTCCACCCGTATGTGTTTGCTCCCTCATCGATCACGGAGCATTTCCCTCTGTTGTCGTTGCAGCTGGTAAATGCCCTCAAGACGGTGCCACTACTGGAGGTCAATGTGGTGGACTACAAATACAAGTGAGTTAAAGAGTGCTAGCATCTCAGTACAGGATCTGTTTGGTGCTGCTCAGCATTGCCCACACTCGGAGCACACCTGTGTGTGAATATGTAACTCCTGACTGTCTTACAGGGACGTTCCCTTCCTGGAGCAACTGAGGATCACCCACAACTCTGACATCTTTATCGGGATGCACGGGGCTGGTCTCACACACCTCCTCTTCCTCCCCGACTGGGCTGTCATCTTTGAGCTGTGAGCTGACATTTTCGGGCCCGAGCGCATGTGTGTGTGTGTGGGGATGTCGGGGAGCGGGGAGGGCAATTGCTCTGGCGGCGTGCTCGCTCCAAAGTGTCTCTCAGCCACTCGCTGTACGACTGTGAAATACAGCCTAATTAATCAGGCGTTCATCACACCTGGCAGTCCCTTGGCAGGGAAGCTGAATGGAAGGAGTGTGTGTGAGTGTGTGTGTGTATGGCGGCCCACGTGGTGGATTTCTTGTTGTTGTTGTGTGCGTGTGCGTGTGTGTGTGTGCGGTTTGAGACAAAAGCGCCGTGGGCTCACGCACGGCAAACAAGGGGAACACACAGAGGATTGAGTGGAGATAAGTGTTTTCATCTGTCCCTCTCAGATATAACTGTCAGGACGAGAGCTGCTATCGAGATTTGGCTCGTCTGCGGGGCATTCGATATGTGACTTGGCAGAAAACGGGCAAAGTGCTCCCACAGGACAAGGTGGGGAAACTCCCTTACGAGCCATTAGCCCCCCAGTCTCTTAGATAAATCACACAACCTCCTCTGTGTAACATTAAATACGCTAACAGTTCTTTATGGGCACTCACAGTTACAGTAGAAAACATAATCAGGCTTAATTCTTCATATTTATTGTCTTTACCTTGTCTGTCAGTACCTGTGAAAGCCCCTGAACACAAATAAAAACTCTTATAGTCTAACACTGAGGAAATTTAGTCTTTAAACGCTTTATGTTATGCTTTCCCTCAGGGTCATCATCCCACCATCGGAGACCATCCCAAGTTTACCAACTACGCCTTTGATGTGAGGGAGTTCATGCGTATCGTACTGGAGGCAGCTGATTATGTCACACACCATCCCAAAAGGACGCGCGGAGTCCGTCACGATGAGCTGTAGAGTGTCAGCGAACGTAAGGGGGAGCACAGACATCTGGAACTCATGATTTAAAAAAAAAAAAAAAAGACCTCTGTTTGTCAGCACTACCCGCCAGCCAATCCCAGTCATGCAGTCATGCAGAGAGTTGTTGCCTCCTGTCTGCTACTTTGATAGGTCTGGATGAGTAAAAGCAGTATGATGACAGTTCAAGTTTGCACAGCTTTCACTAGCTCTATTAGTGTCGGATCAGTCAGAGCGTGTGTGCAGCCAGAGCAGCTGCAGAGCTCCTTCATTACCTCCACCCCGGCTACTTCATTCCACGTCGTCAACGTTAGCAAATGAGCAGCTGTTTGGGTGCCCCCTTCAGATGTGACACATTGTCCAATTTCATCAGCGTCACAGTGATGGGGATCTCTTGAGAGCTGTTGACAATCACACTAGAGTTTGTGGGCGCGTCCAGTATAAAGCTGTCACATGTCAAATGCACTTTGGTCACGCTGGATTCACACGCAGAGCATCACACTGTTTATGCAGTTAGTCCATCACAGTGTAAGATGTTCTCACAATTAGACTGACCACAAGTCAGATGACATCACCACATTGTGATAATAACAGTACTGACAGGGGATTAATGTCTGACATTACCCATTGTAGTTTTTACACACTTCACACTTCAGTCATTTAAAGTTACTTTTGCCACTTTGCATTGAAAGCAAAAGTGCAAACGCAGCGCTGATGATTCCCGTTGCCTTCCCTCTGCCGTGTCATCGTAAGTGTTAACAGCATCAACATTTCTCTTTTTATTCTCATTTCCTGCTATATTTCAGCCCACTTACTTGAAGTATTGAAATGACAGTTTTAATTTCAAAACGCATCTCCCATACTTTAACTCTAAAAAGGGGAAGATTGGTAAAAGTGCGGCGCTTTTAATGTCTCTTTGTTGAAAAGTGAAAGCAGACCCCTACACTCCAAACTGTGTGTGTGTTTTATTTGTTACACCTCTGAGATATTCAGCTGACTTTTTAAACTCTTCTGTTAGACATTTGTTTACATTTCCCCCTTTGTTATTTGTCACATTTGCTATTTATACTTGCAGTGTTACTTGTTTTGGATGGAAATTCTTTGCATTTTCCAAAAATGAAAAATCAGTGTTGCGGTGCTGCTGCTGTCTGTGATCTCTCCCGAACTCTTTTGTACGCCGTTAGTTATGTGACTGAAAGGGAATGAGCCCCATTTACATAGCGTGATACAATGCACAGGAAGACTATTTGCGATGACATTCTTGTGTGTTTTTATTCATTTGGTTTTCTCCCTGTGAGCTTGATGTTTTATTTATCAATGAAAGTGTTGATCTTTTTTGGTTGTTTCCACACTTGTAGGCAATCTTCATATTTAAGAGCAATACGTGATTTTGAAATAAAGAGTCATAAAAAGAAAAAAAGAAATGCTGAAGCATGTGTTCCTCTGCTCTTCAGGCCACATTAGGGATCGGAGATGTAATTCGTCTTTACTCAATCAATCATCTTCTGAAGCCTGACCTTGGAGGGGGGAAACGGAGGCCCGTGTCTTTCGGGTTCCTGCTGGAGCCAGACAGCCCTTTGCTGCGGCTTTCATTATTTTAGCCAGTTCAGGTGGAAGGGAGGGAAAGGGCTCTCCGCAAAAGGGCACTTGTTCAGTTTTTTATTGCCACCGTGATAAATCTGGATGACCTGAAAAACTACTCCACTGAACAGTGGCTCGTTCTGGCCGCGTGGGGGCAGTATAACACCACACAAAACGCCTCATCCCGATCCTGCGTTCTGACTGTCCCCGGCAGGCTTAGGTTCATCGGCGTTGAGTGAGAAATAATGTATTCGCAGGAAATATCCCAAAGGTCATAAAAGACAATGTTTGCTCGCCAGGCGTTTGCTTTTATTTCAGCAGTTGGCCGCCGGCATGCAGCCGCGCGCTCCCGAGCCTGCTCTTTGCGGATGTTGTGTCTGAACTTTCTGAATATTGACAGACACCGAGCCCCGTCTGGGGTGGACGCTATTTGTGGCCCTGCTCGGGTTGCTGCCAGTGGCTTCCTAAAGAAGGTGAAGAATCTCTATACTCGGAGATCAAAAAAAGCAGAAAGGGCCGAGATGTCTTTGCTCATTAACCTCCATGTTCTCTTCCAGTCCGTGTGCGCAACACCCGGCCTCAGGGCGCATCCCACATGGAACGGGGGATGTGATCCCAAACCAGCTTTTGACGAAGTAAGTGGAAAAAACAGCACATTTGTAAGTAGATCATAGGAGACCTGACTTATTTTGTGCCCCGCGCGGGGTCTCATTGAGGTTTACGCCAGTGTTTTTACGCAGGACTGTCTCATTGTGCCACGTCTGAACCAGGCCTAATGGCTGAAATGTGGAATTACCTAACTCTGTCGTCCTTGATAAAGAGTTCAGGGCTCCGGGACAGAAAGGCTGGCTCCCAACAAAGTGTGAGGTGTAATTCCAGGCAGTAGAAGCTGTGCTCAGCGTCATGAGATCACATCTGCGCACTCCCTCTCGCTTCAGATTTAGGAAGGTGTTCACATCACACCCCGCACTTTTAATGACTCTGCTTTTCCGGTGTGTGATACTCCAGCTGCTGTTTTTTTCCCCCCCTCCCCTGACATCTCGTTTGGGTGTCTCTAACATCAAGTTTCGGCCCCCCCCCCCCCCCCTTCAGCAACACTAGCCTGGTCCACTTCCTCTTTGCTTAAAGGTGACCTTACATCCACGTTTTACAACATGATCATTAGCATAATCTCATTTAGCTGTGAAGACAAAACACTTCTCACTGCTTAACTCTGATAAATCAATTACAATCTGCTCGTTTTACCTAGGCCACTTTTCCAGGCGTCCCCACACCAAATAAACAAGGGGATTAATGCAGGGATATTGATCCAGGAGGAGGAAATATTCCTCAAGTTCTAAACAGACATTTCCCTGATGTTATTCTCCCCAGAGTGACGATTATTGGGGAATAATTCCAGATGAGATCCTGTAGCTACGCTCCGTGTCACAGGACACGCCAAGAGGCCTCCAGCCTAGACTTTTTTTTCTACAACACCACAAAGTGTAGGCACTGTTGTGCAGCATTGGGATGTGCCATTTTCTGTTTAAGTGTGGTTAGGCGTTTGTTGGGAAAGCGGACGATTCTGTGAAAACAACAAAAACAACATTGTGAGGGGATGTACCACAGAAGTAAATTCAATTTCACACCGTCCAGCAGCGTCCAAACAGCGTTTACGTCACACGGTGTGGTTTCTTGTGATACTATCTGGCCCCTCTGACGAGCACCAGATGAGATAAGTGCTGTGGGCTGTTGCATCCATTAGCCTCCTCGCTTTAAGATAAAAGGCCCCCGATCCCCGCCGGGACGTGCCGTTTCAGAGCTGGATGTACACCCAGCTGCGGAGCAGAGAGGATATCAACTCCAGTTTCTGGGGAAACGCCGTCAAACTACTTTTTCTGCACGTTGGAGTCGCCACGAGCGTACCAGCCATGTTTCCTTAGTTCAAAAGCCTTTATCTCCATTTTTACCACTAAAGGCCCGCATGCGTTTCACTTATGGCGCACTTACATCAATGTCTAATCTTCTCCCAGTTCAAAGCCAGACGGGTCGATTTGTAATAGATTCGAGCAAAGATAAATCCACTGCAAACTAAATACGGGCCTTTCTCACTTGCAGGTGGAGAAAATTTGGTTTAAACTGGCGGTGATGACGGTGCCCTACAGAGATACCGCGCTGGGATGCTTAAATGCCATCATTATCAGCCCTTTTTAATTCGTTGCATGACTTTTTGTCTTTGGTTTTTTGTAAAGTGTAAGAGACTTATCAGCTTCCCTCCAAAGCAGAGGAAAGTCAGGGGGAATTGTGTGTCTCAGCGATGCTGGCAACAAGAAAAACAAGGGAGTCATCTGAAGGTATCGAGTAACCCTCACCTTGGGTCGTTAGTGGACATCGACCTCCTCTAAGTCTTAATGACTGCAAATACAGCGCAAAGCAATCAATCGCCATCAACACGCGAGAATATTCTGGGATGAAATAATTGATAGGCTGTCTCTTGGTGCGTAACTGAGAGGCGGCGGTGATTAAATTCTGTTCAACATCTTGGCGGAGGTGGTGCTGCTGTGCGTGTGTGTGCATGTGTGTGTGTGTGTGTGTGTTATTTGAAGACGATTGGCCTCCAACTCGTGCGCAATCGTGCACCACCCTGTCAGTCAGGAACAATGGCCAGGCTCCTCTCTCTCACACAGTCAGATGGACATATGGAGAAGTGTCAGACATGTCACCCCCCCCCCCCCCCCTCCCTCCCGCATGTGGTCGTTACTTATTAACGAACGACTAGCCAATGGGGTCATACTTTCAGAGATCTTGCTACTTAAACGTGGTCTGAATAACTCATTTGTCTCCATCATCCGTGCGTCCCCGGTGTGACGCGTTTTATTCACCGTTTGGAAAACCAGGTTCCCTATATCCTCCGCGTTTTTGCATCTGAATCTCTCCTAAATATGCAGATAGGAGGAATATCACCGAGAAAGTGACAAGAATGAAGCTTGTACTATCAAAGCACCGCTGTCATAAATCTCACGTCTCCTTGGACCTATACAGTCCAGGCTACTCGCAAACTACATGACATCAGTGAGGAAGAAGAGGGGGGGGGGGGGGGGTGTAGTGGAGAGCTGGTGAACTGGGCAGGCGCTGTTGCACGTGTTCAGAATTGGTGAAGACGGGCTCACATCGCATTTCTCATGTCCAATCGATCCGTGCTCGGGAGGAGCGACGGGAGGGCAACTATCACTCCTGCATCACCGTAGCATCACTCCCGTCCGCGTCCCTCCGCGTGACACACTCAAGCAGGGGGGGATGAACTTGTGTGTGGAGCGGTCGCCAGAAGCAGCCCGGCGTTACTCCGGGAGGATTACGCACTTCTGCTGACTTTTCTTCCTCAGTCTGATCTCGGGATGGGACTCGGTGAAACCATGGCAAATTGGACTAGGTCGTTTTTGTGCGAGTCCTGCTTCCTCACCCTGACCAGGAGGACTGTTCCCCAGCCTCAGCCGTAGCCCTCAGCACTCCTTTTTTTTTTTACAATTGTTTTTGTGCCCGATCTGGACAAGAGGCTTAAATGGATTAAGCCATTTAATGGAAAACAAAATCAGCGGAGTTGAAACAGAAAGTGCTAAAGTGTTCGTCTGTCTCACTCGGACCCTTTACAGTCCCAAATAATCATGACATCGAGCTTATAGATTTGGGTAAGGTGGCGTTTTTATTTTTCTAATTCAGACTGAATTTGCGTGGGTTCCATTCACGTTGTTAATGACCCCTTGTCTTTTCGGTGCAATGTGGGCTAACAAAAAAAATGGGATGGAGTCAGTGTGGGACTTTACCCCCCAACGAATGATGGTCCCCTTTTTTTTTCCTGTGAAAAGTAACGAGAGAAGGAAAGCTGAGCGCTGACTCTGAGGTTCAACTTCAACGCCCTCGGCACAGAGCGCGGCGAACGTAGTTTATAGAAGATTTAGTCACAAAAAATGCGGAATCGCCAGATAAAATCTCCCCATATCTCCGCTTCCCGTGGGCGCAGGATTGCCTTGCGTAAAAAAAAAATGGAATACATAAACCCAATCAAACGACAAGCAGTGCGCGCTGCTGGGAGATGAGGTTGGGGAGTGAGGTGAGACTGATGCAGTGTTTATCACTCAGAGGTTAAATAAGCGGTCGGCGCTGCGCATCCACCTATTCAGACCGGAAAAAAAAAAGAAAAGAGAAAAAACGAGAGGAAAAAATTGGCTTTGCGCAGATTGTGATGATTTGGGAGGAGAGCGCGCGGTTCCCCGGGCGGATTGCGCGCGGACTCTGGGAGGTGCGTCGCAGAGCCTGATCGCCAAACTCTACTGGACGCACACTCCCCAGCACGCACGCACGCACGCGCGCGCCTTGCGCGTGCTAAACTGAGCGAAAATGACTTGGCGCATGTTAATAGGCGCAGTAATGAGACCCAGCCCCTCTCGTGTTGTAATTGTTAGTCATCCCAGTCTCCTCCCCCCTCTGCCCCCCCCCCCCCCCCCCCCCACACACACACTCGATTATATCTCCCGTCGTCCCACGGTTCGGCCCTGTAATTTTGAGAGTGAGTTTAATATTGAGAGTGTCATTATTTCCCCATTGTTTTTTAAGGCTCGGCACTGGCTCTCCACGGAAAGTGGTGTCATCAGGGCGGACACTAGGGGGGGGGGGGGGGGGGGGGGGTGAGGGGGGGAGGCAGGTGGAGAGGATCGGTCCGCGCACTTAATTCTCATTGACAGTCACATTAACACGGGAGCAGCACTCTTAATCCTGGGGAGATTACTCTCTCAAACCTGACGCCCCGTCACCCGGCTACACACACTCACCCATCACTGGCCGTGACCCACACCTG